GTTGCCAGTTTGGCATTACTGTCAGCGAGATCGTTGCCGAGGATATCGCGGTGACCAGGGATCCACTGAATCGTGGGTTGAGGTATTGCATTATTTATGCGTAGTCGCAATTGGTCGAAGGATGGTGATGTTCCCACTAGTGCCATGCATACAACAACGTTGTTGTAAGTGGTGGTGGTGGTGTTTTCGGTGTCGGTGTTGTTGTTGTTGTTGTTGTTGTTGTTGAAGGGTTTCAAAATGCACATTTTTCTACCTTGTAATTTGTCTGTTTTATTGAATGATAATTCTGCAGTCTACAGCGCTTATAGATTTCTAGGAATGAGGCGCAGCATAAATTCCCGTTTCTATTATTACGAGGTCTGTCCAAGAGGTAAATTTCCCTGTTCTGAAAAATCAACAATGTTTATTCCACAGACATGAAGTTATGTACATATTAGTGTAGGAGAGGAACGACAAAAATACTGGAAGAAAGGAAAAAATTGCAAAAGAAACAAAAAGTATTGGGATGTACATAGAATTAGGTCACTTTCAACATATCAAAAATGTACATTCACGCATTAATGGGAAATGCTATTTTTAGCTCATGACGTCACCGTTTTCTATTCAACTTAACCCCTTCACTGCTACGGCGACGTAGGGCTTACGTCTCCTCTGTGTGCTTAGAGTGACTACATTTAACCCTTTTTCTGCCCGGCCCAAGTCTACCTTTCTGCTTGGACTATACGACTAAGCGAACTTTTTTGCTATACCCCGTATATCCAATCTCCCTCCCATCTTCCACTGTTCCGTCTCCCCTCATCCCTATCCCACACAAACACACCCTCCCACTACTGTTTCCTTCTTCCATTCCCCCAACCCTCCTCCCAACCCCTTGCTCCCAATCCTCCTCCCAACCCCTTCTCCCAACCCCTTGATCCCAACCCCTTGATCCCAACCCTTCTCCCAACCCCTTGCTCCCAAACCAACCCTCCTCCCAACCCCTTGCTCCCAACCCCAAACCC